GAAACTCTTTATTGATGGATACTATTTGATATTGGATAAAACACTTAGTTTTCTTTATGGCAATAGCCATAAATGTATAGTCTATGACTTGAACTATGTGTTCTGATAAAAATATTAATAATCATAGAAATTTATTAATAACATATTTTATGTTTGCATTATGAGTTTTGTAGTGACCAGTTGCAGCTCTAGATGTTCCCGAGGGGAAAGATGGTGAGAGCATGAAAAAATAAAGAAGAGCAAACTCTAGGGTCATATGGAGCCCTTACTCTCCTGATGAGAGAGAAGGAACAGCTCAGCCACCATAGCATGTTTATTCATACCCTCCAAAGAAGAATGGCAGTTGTAACCCTAGTGTCCAGCAACTTGTGTGCCTGGCTGGCCTGGGCCCCTTGCCCTCTTGGTGCTGGAGCATCTTGTTTACCTGGCTTGTTTTGGGCACTCTGTGTTTTCATGGCTGGTCTTGCCTTAGCCCCACACATGTGATCAATCTCCAGCTTCAACAGCTCTCTACAGAGTTTTATATGATTCATCTTATTTAATCCTCACAATTTTACTATTAATAGATACAAAGCTTTTTAAAAAACTTTATGGAAAAAATAAAATTTCATAACATAAAAATAGGATAATAACAATATTTAATACATTGCATACAATTATCTTCACAGTATTTACTCAGGGTACAAGATATGGGCATAAAATTTTCTCCAATGAATATTAGCACAAACCTTTCTTTTCAATGAACTAAGATACATTAATAGTATAATTAAGTTGTATTTTCCCCCTTTCTCTTTCTTCTTTTTGCCTTTCCCCAATCCTAGTTCTTTTGAAAAATTTCTTCCCATTTCACAATATGTATTGTATATTTTAGACCTTATTTACCCTTCCATTTTCTTACTGCATTGAAACAATACAATGTTTACACTATGAGTCCCATTTATTTCACTTATGAATATGATCTCAAGTTGCATTCATTTACCTATAAAAATATCAAGTTTATCTATCTTTATGGCTGAGTAGTACTGCATTCTATGAAAAGATTGCATCTTTCTTATCCATTCCTTGGTTGATGGGCATTTGCACTGTTTCCAAGATTTAGTTACTATAAATTGTGCTGTCATAAACATAGATGCGTATATATCACTGTGGTGTGACGCTTTTAACTGATATGGGAAGGTACCTAGAAAGGGAATGGTTGTATCAATGGGAACTCTAATCTTAATTTTTTGAGGAATGTCCGTACTGATTTCCACAGTGGTTGCACCACTCTGCATTCCCACCAGAATGGTTCCTTTTTTCTCCTGGCATTTGTTGTTGGTTGATTTCTTGATGCTAACCATTCTTAATGTAGTGAGGTAGAATCTCTGTGTTGTTTTAACTTGCAAATGACCAGTGATATTGAACATTTTTTCATACATTTATTTGCCTTTTATATTTCTTCATCTGAGACATGTATATTTATCTCAGATACCCATGTTTTGATTAGGTCTCTGAATTTGGAGGGGGGCAGATTTTTTTTCCAATTCTTTGCAGGTTCTAAACAGAAGTTCTTTTTCTGAGGGACAATTGGCTAAATTTTTTTCCCACTCTGTGCATTGTTGTTTCACAATGTTGGTGATTTCCTTTGATGCTTGAAAGCTTTTCAGTAAGATGAGATCCCATTGTTGATTCTTTGAAGTACTTCTCATGTAGTCTGGGTGTTGTTCATGAACTCTCTGCCTGAATCTATGTCTTCAAGATTTGTACCTATTTCTCTTCTAGTAGATTTAGAGTTTCTGTTTTAATATTTAGATCTTTGATACATTTTGACTTTAGTTTTGTGTACAGTGATAGACCTGGGTCTAATTTTAGTCTTCAACACACAGAAAGCAAGTTTTTCTAGCACCATTTATTAAAGTGGTTTTTTTTTCCAGTGAAATTGTTTGGCCCCTTTGTCAAATATAAGGTAGACGAATGTGTTTGTAGTTGTGTCTGCATCTTCTAATCTATTCCTCTGATCCTCAGATCTATTTTTTGACAGTACTATGCTGATTGTATCACAGTAGGTTTGAAGTATAATTTCAGGTCAGATATTGTGATGTCCCCTGCCTTGTCTTTGTGGCCCAGAAACACTTCTGTTATTTTAGTGTCTTCTGTTTCCAAATGAATTTTAGGAATGCTTTCCCTAGTTATTTGAGGTATGCTATGGGTATTTTAACTGGGATCACGTTAAATCCTTATAACAGTTAGGGGATTATGGTGATTTTTAATTATGTTGGTTCTTCTTATCAATGAACAGGGATAGCTTTCCATTTGCTGATATCCTCTTCCATCTCCTTTTTCAGGAGTACTGTAATTTTCAATATATAGATCTTTAACTTCCTTTGTTAGATTGATTCCTAGGTCATTATGAAGTGTGTGGTCTCCTTAATTTCTCTCTAAGGGAATTTATTGTTTGATACAAAGATTTTTACATTTGAGGAGGCAGAAGCTAAAAGGGATTAGGTAAATAGTCCAAGGTCACACAGTAAGAGAGCTGTGACTTGTTTGAATCAAAGTTCTAATCATATCTTGTGGAACATGTATAAAAATAGTCACATTTTTTTTACTCAGTATTTCAAGCATAAAACTCTCACTTAATATATTTTCCAAGTATTTGCTTCATCCTTATCATCTCCTTTAGACATTAGTCTTGAGGTAGTAGAAAATTTATGCAATCAGAAGTAAATATTTTAATAACTCATGTGCTGTTTCTCTTGGTCTACACATTCTTTCCTTCGCCTACTCCTGACATTTTCTGAGAACACATGCAAGCTTATTCTCATTCTTATTGGCCATTTATTCACAATTCCAATTTTAAAACCTTGCTATTTGATACCCTCTTTCAGTCAGAATTCTCCTTTTTCAAAGAACCCTTGACCCATTGCTGACTCTTTCTTCTCCAAAATGTCTCACATTCAAAATTTTGGTTTCTCTCCTCCATGTCTTTGTCTTTTATAGTACAATTCAGTTTTCATAATACAATTACTATATATGAATATTTTGATCCATTGTACTTTTTCATTTGTACTAGAAATATTTGAAAAATCCTAGTGGCTACATTTTTTGCATTCATTCATATTTATATATCTACTTATAATACTTTCCTAAAGCTGGGAATGCTGTACTAGAAGTGTATTTTACAAAAACTCTTTATAGATACTCCAAAATCGCTTTAAAAAGAGTTTTGAGAGGCCTGGGATTTAGCTCAGCAGCATAAGCACCTGCCTGGTGAGCACGAGGTCATGAGTTCAATCCCCAGTACCAAAAAAAAAAAAAAAAGTTTTATCAGTTTTTACCTTAAAACTAAAAAAAGTTTTATCAATTGGAGTAATGTGATAAAATTTCTGTATAGACACATCAATCTTAGATATTATGTACTTAAAAATTCAACCTGTGAAATCAGTAGGTAAAATTAGAAATTGGGCATTCACTTGGCAGGCTGAGGCAGGAGGATTACTGTGAGTTTTTGGCTAGCCTAGACTACAGTCTGAACTGCATAGAGAAACTCAAAAAGACAAAAAAAACCCTTTACATTAAAATTGCTAAAGATTATTCTCCAATTATATTCTCTTTTGGAATCTTTTTGAATTTCATATTGTAGAAACTTTTACTCATGATTTTCTCCTCTTCAGTTTTCTAGTTTGGATATAACTTTAGAACATCATTAACATTAACATTATACATTTACTTGTACATTACTAGCATTTTGTAGTTTTTCGTGTTTATCTTAAATGGTTAATTCAAACAAATGACTGTCTTGTTAACAATATTTATTAAGCAATATTTTGTTTCCCTTATTGGTTTGAAATGATACCTCTAATTTACAAGCACAATTTTTAAACTTTGTTCTGTTGGTATTTCAGAATATGACTGTCCTACCTTTTATATATCATGAATATGCAATATATTCAAATATGTAAGAGCAATTTTCTATATTGTGCTTTATAAAATAATTTTGGACTTTTGTATATAATTCTTGAATAAATTGATGTCAGTCGTACTTTCCCATTGCTCATATGGCCTCAACTGCTGTCAAGAAAAGGAGATCATAACAAAGTCTGAAATTAAATTTCTTTGTTTGATGTCTTATAGCAAGATCCTTACACTTTTTAATCTTCCTATTGTCTGTATACCAGACTTGTCAAGTTTAAGTAATTTTACCCATCTGTGATTACTCTGTGCTTTAATATAGGTGGTATCTTTTCCAAGTTCCTGATTTTCTCAGTGTCTTAGGTTGCTATACCTGAATACCTTAGACTGTTGTAGTTTAAATTTAGAAGGTCCCTCAAATTCTCAAGTGTGGAACTTGACTGGATAACAGAGGAACTGATACAAGATAGGGCTTCTTAGGAAGAGGAGGGTTACTATAGTCCTCCCTCTCTCATTCTTCCTTTCTCTTTCTGCTTCCTCATCACCCTGATGCAACCAACTTTCTTCTGCCTGGCCCTTTTGCCGGCAAACCATGGGCTAAAATGTGAATCAAAATAAGCTTTGAATTGTTTGTGTCCAGTATTGTTTCCCATTCAAGAGAGTGACTAAGACAGACTGCATAAGTGATAATCAACATAAATTTATTTCTCACAGCTCCAGAAGCTAGGAAGTACCAGATCAAGATCCCAGCACATTCAGCATCTGGTGACATCTTCTCGGCTTCTGGGATGATGCCATTGAGCCTTACACAGCAGAAGTGGCAAGAGGCTCTCCCAAGGTTCTTTAATAGGGACACTGATAGAACTACCCAATTAACACCTAAAGTCTCCAAGTTGATTATCACAAAAGTGGAGATTAGCTTTCAATGAAAATTTTATAGGCACAAGTGTATCAGACCACAACAGAACATAGTACATCCCCTAAACCAGGTAGCAACTCAATAAGCAACAGTAAACGGTAAGGTTCTAAATTCGCTTAACTTCCATTATAAGTGGTTTTTGCTTTTACTTGTTTTTTTACATCACATGCATTTTTTATTGTCTTTCCAGGCATCATGTTTTCTGCTGAGTCTTCAACAACAAAAGGTAACAGGAAACTGGACGAAGTGGGGCACACCTGCATCAGTGCTCTGGGAGCTGAGGACTATGGGAATGGAGGACTCTGGGAGCTGAGGATTCTGGGAGCTGAGGACAGAGCATTATGAGTTACAATGCAGCTGCAGCCTTGCTACCTTAGTGAGACCCTATCTCAAATGTAAAAAACAAAAAAAGAAAAAGAAAAATAGGGAAAAAATAAAAAGATATTCATTTCCTCATACTTGAACACTTCCTCACATAAATGTATTTGTTCTGATTTCGATTTTGCTTAGTCATCCTGTTTTTAAGGAACACAATTAATGTAATTTAAATGATCTGAAAATTTATTTCTTATAATTGCTAAGTAAAATTACACTTAGATATAAATATATTTCAAACAGTCTCATTGCAGGGCAAGATTCATACTCTTTTTTTCAAAGATTAAATTTCACAGAGTAAACCCTGGGAGATACTATTGTATCTATTGGAGGTGAAGCAATAATATTGGCTCAGTGAATGTAGTTAAACAGAACTGAATTCTCATTATCAAATCACTATTCTCCTTGATTTTTTTCACACACAAAGAATTGCTTGTGTAAGTACATAATAAACATTTTTCTTGTGTTTGTTATATATAAGTATTCATTTTTATATTAAACAAAAACCCTACATACTAAGTCTCATTTTTAAGACTTAAATGAGGTATCACCTTTGTTCTGGCCTCTCCCTTTTGCATTTTCCCTTCAAAATCTTTTTTGATACCTCAGGCTTAGATGTCCTTTCTTTGTAATTTTATAATACTTTGTCAATACATTTATGCTGGCATGCTCCATTTTGTATATTTTGTATAATTACTTAGTCTGTGACTGTCACCTCCTCTAGATTATTAATGTAGCAAAGATCATGAATTATCATGAATATTTGTTAAAGAAGAAATGTCTGTGCCATATGCTTGATTTCTAACCAATTAGGCTAGGACTCAGGGATAGGTGATTTACCAGTGAATTTCGGATTTGAAATCTCTTTTTAAAATGAGATATTTATAGAATTTAATAAATAGTTGAAGAATGAATATCCTGAATATTTTCCAGTTGTCTTTTAAAACAGTGTTGATCATTTTCTTCTTACACTATGTCTATAGCTCATGTCTACCTATTAGGCACCAAGACCAGGTCTGATGGCACCTGTTTGTGTGTGTGGAAGATGGTACAGAATGGCAACAAGAAAGCATTGTTTAGAATCTATTGGACCTAATGCCATCTGAGATATAGATTATTTTCTATACAGAGACATCATATATTATAAGGAAGAACATAATTAGAAATTTTCATGTTCTTTCTCAATATATAAATGTTAGTTACCATGGCAACAGCTGATATAGATTCACTTATTCTATTTTTATTATAAGAGAATAAGTAGAAGCTGAAGTGTTTTATAATAAAAATTTCCACAGATCTGTAGATGAATATTTTGGTGATCATCTAAAATATTTGAAAGAATATGTTAAGATGAGAGTTGAAGATCCTTTCTTAATAAAGAATCATTGAACTATTCATAAAAACCATTAAGTGGTATATATTTCTAAATAATATGAAACTTCCCACTGTAAAGAAAATGATATTTTATTTTGCTATTTAAAGATGAAATGAAGTCAGCTTTATTTTAAGGCAACATTAGGAATGTGAATTTTGCCCTTTCATTATTGGATACACCTATAAATAAATAAATAGAGATATGTGTGTGTTTATATTATTCAGTCACAAATGAATTTGCTTTATATTTTTCAATAAATAAGAAATCAATGGCAAAGCACACTTCTTTTTCAAAACATTAACTTTGAGGTATGATTTGTTTCCTCACTGGGAATGTTGGGATGTGGTGCTGGTTGGCAGGTTTGGGTTGCAATGGTGGAACCCTCATGAGTGGTTAATGCCTTTCCATCATGATTGAGTTCTGCTCTGCCAGGACTGGGTTAGTTAGCAAAGTGGGTTATTATATTAATCATTTTCCTATCATGGGCATAAAATATTTAACACCCACGGCTTAAAGTAAGAAAAGTTTGACTCATGGTTTTAAAGGTTTTAGTCCATGTTTGGCCAGCTCCAAGGCAGAAATGCTGTGGTGGAATAGGCTGGCAGAAGAAAATTTCTGAATCTACAGGAAAGAGAGAGAGAGAGAGAGAGAGAGAGAGAGAGAGAGAGAGAGAGAGAAAGAGAGAGAGAGAGAGAAAGGGAGAGAGAGAGAGAGAAAGGGAGAGAGAGAGAAAGGGAGAGAGAGAGAGAGAGAGAGAGAGAGAGAAGGAGAGAGAGAGAGAGAGAGAGAGAGAAAGGGAGAGAGAGAGAGAGAGAGAGAGAAAGGGAGAGAGAGAGAGAGAGAGAGAGAGAGAGAGAGAGAGATGCAAACACCTTTCCAGTTCACACCCCAGTGACCTATCTCTTCTAGCCACCTCCTAATCACACATTAAGCTAGCATATGGTCAATACAGTCCTCCCATGATCACTTTCCAAAACCCCACTTCTAAATGCGTGAGGCCACTGAAGAATATTTTAGATATAAATTAAAGAAGTTATAAATCAAATCCATCTCTTGCATTTTGTCCTTTTATATGATCTTTCTTGCCCTTTAGTTTTCTACATGACTTGAAGCAGAAAGAAGCTCTTACAAGAATGCAAATAGATGTTGATACTATGATCTTGGACTTTCCTGCCTCTAGAACCATGAGTTAAAACAATCTATTTTCTTTATAAATTGGTCATTCTCAAATATTTGCTTAAAACAACAGTGAAAGGACTGGTATACCATTGGAGATCATGTATGTGTGTACGGTGGGTAAGGAGGATAGAAACCCTTAAGGAAACAAGGTTACAGCTATTGAAATGATAACCTTAGCATTATAATATAAGTCAAGATGGAGAACTTAACATGTTTTTAAAATACTGAATTGAAACACTCAAATAATTAATTGGAGAATCACTATGCAAGATGATGTTTTTTAAAGTCCTAAAATTATATTCTATGCTTTTCCAGTGAGTGTTAGACATACAGCTTCATCTGAGAACTTAGACCCAGTAGGATATTTGATGGGTTTTGCAGGCCCCATGCTGAGGTTATGATCTCCAGTTGTTTCCCCTGCTTCTTCTGGCTTCCCTAATTCTATAAATGGTAGCTCTGCCTACCCAGGGACTTTTCCTGAACCCTCAGTCCTCTACTTTTCAAAAAGGTGTTATACTCTGCTGTTTGCAAGCTTCTCCCTTGCCATATATGAAGGGTTTTCTTATCTTTGTGCCTTCTCTTATGCAATTCATCTTTCCTGTGTTTTCCTTTGACACATACCTTTTCTGACTTACTCTTACTTATCTTTCAGGGACCCCCGCTTGGTTCTTTTCTCTGTGCTGTTATATTGTACTCATTACTAATCTTTACCATAACACCTTTCACCTTACTGAATCTACTGTTTTGTGTTTGTCCCATTACAAGAAGACCAGGTCTTTCTGATCTTTGAATCCTCAGTGTCTGCAATCAAATTTCTCTGACAATCAAAAGTCTAACCTCAATGTGCTTTAATACCAGATAGCATAATTTAAGGTTTTTAATACAAGGTATTACTTTTGGTTTAATTATTTGACAGCTTACTAGATATCTCATTTGAAATCAAACTTGAAAGACAAATAGAATGCTAAAATGAAAGACCAGATCAAGCCTTAAAAAACGGAGAAAGTGTCAACAGAATAAGATTTTGCTGGTTCATTGAGAGCAGATTGGAGAAGTTCCAGAATTTTGTTCCTGTGTGTACTCAGGAGTACATGCCAGATGATAAGAGAGCCCTAGATCACATTAGCGTTAACAAGGAAACTGTGTAATGGTTGATTGATTGTGTCAGTCTGAGAAGTTTAGAACCTTAACTAAGTCCAGAAATTTTTCACTCAAGGCTGTAAAGGACTGTTATGGACCCCAGGCCTCAAGCACTTGCATTATGCATTTGTGATTGGTTCATTGTCTAGAGCTTGGATTGATGGTGTCAGTGCTACATCCAGACAGGGGTGGAGCCAGCATAAAATGTAATGGCAGGAAGAAGGCATGTCTCTCTCTCTTGCTGGTTTCTGCCTTGCTGTTTGCAGCTGCCATGAACTGCCGCCCCACCATGCCACCCTGCTTTGGAGCCAACTGAGTAAGGACTGAAACCTCCAAAAACTGTAAGAAAGAAAACCTTTCCTTTCCCAACTTTGGGCATCAGGTATTTTGTCTCAGCGATGAGTAAAAAGTAACTAAAACAAGGATCTACCTGAGGGTGGCTTGTTGCCTGGATGTATGTATAAAGGGAAATGAGGAAGGATGGGCTGGCTTCTGTTCTTTGGAGGACTTCCAGTCTTCACCTTCATCTTGGATGTCATCTGGTTTCAAGTGCAGACTTGGACTTTCACCTCATTCTTTACCTTTCTGGAGTAGACTCTTCATTCTTCTATCATAGACCCATTGGCCTCCTGATACAGACTTGTGAAGGATCTGCTGTAAGCTCCAGGCCTTGTACTGAAACCTTTGGTCTCCAGTGTGTAGACACCCTCTTCATGCTTCCTCACCCAATTCTGTAGCTGATAATCATAAACCAATCTTGTAATTTCTTATACATTTGTATATCTTGTGTTATATCTGTTTCTCTAGTAAAACACTGACTGATAGACAAAGTTGCTCTGTTTTAAAAGAAGGAGAAGAACAGAAAAGCCAACTGAAACCTTTAGGTTCTGTGCCTGTTCTCAGTCCAAGAGGTATATTCCATCACTTTCACATTCCATGAGAAGATGTGACCAAGTGCACTGTTTTCCTTGTGTTATGGAAGGAAGAAGGCTCCAAACTGAATTGCAATGTCTCCAACAAATAAGTATGACATACTGAGCACCTTAAGTACCACTAGGAAATAAATTAGGTACTGGGGATCACTCTTTACTAGCTAGTGTGGTATAAGGACTTACATGAGCACCTGTGGGTTGAGATGTTCATTAGCTGTTCAGACAATGGCCTCTCAAATAGCTCTCATCTTTTTTATGTTTGAAAAGAGAGGCATAAGCAGATTCTGAATCTGAGCAGGAGTTAGGGTCATCCTGTACAGCCATCACCACAAATGTTTGGAAAATATGAGAGTTTCCTCATCTGCAGAAACTATGTTTGCAGAAAATTCTGGACAACTGGCTATTTTCATGTGACAATCATTCATATTTTGTGAGGGCAAATAAGAACAAGCTTTTTAGAGAGTTTGCTGGTTTCTGATGGTCTCATCAATAACAAGGATGACATTTTCATTAAAACAGTCCAAAGAACCTCAGACTTCAGGAAGAAACTGAGATGGTCTACTCATCTGCTCTAGTCCTCAAAGGTCAGTGTCAAAGGTGCTACATGGATGGTTGTAAGATGTAATCTGATTTTGTAGATTTCATTGATGATTTTGGAAATGTAACATCAAGTGCACAGAAAACTTTTTTATGCCTAAGAATGAATATATATACATATATTTTCCAAGGTATTAGTAAATTGTTGGTTTTTAGGAGCATTAGTACTCTGAGCTATTAGTACTATGAACATTTGCATTTGCATAACACTTTATGCTTTAGAAATCACTTTCTCCCTTTCTCATTAAATCTTTATAAAGACTCTGTAAGTAGCCTATTATTCTGCAGATTGGGAAACTCTTCATAAGAGAGATTATGTGAAAATTAGGAATTGCATGAATCGTCTGATACTTGATTGCATAGCTTTTAGAGTCATGCCACTCTGAATTAGACACAAGTTTGGACAGAAGCTATTGGTAAAAAATGTGAAATGTTAAAAATAATTGTTATATATATTCTGCTTAGTTAGTTAAAGGAGACACAATTTTTTTTTAAATATGTAGGATAAATAACAAGGGAATCATTGCATGGTTTATTAGAAAGGCTGAAAGATCTATTTGAAACTCCCAACAGACATTTCAGTCTGGGTATTGGTCATGGGTAATAAGTTTAACAAGCTTCTAAGGATAAGAATACAAGAAAAAATGATAAGGAAAGAATAAAAGATTCTAAAACCAATTGGCCAAAAACGATCCACTCA